CTCGTCTTGGTTATATGGACACAGATTTATTCATATACCATATTGAGACTGAGGATATATATAAGGATATGAATGAGCGCCTCGATCTCTTTAACCTCAATGGGGACCAAACTATTAGAAAATTTAAGGATGAGACTCCTAATAATGTTATTACAGAGTCTATTCATATTTAGGCGAAATCATATCACTATGTCTTGGCAGATAAGTCTATTCAGTCTAAGCACAAGGGAGTTAGTAAGAAGGGTATGATGGAAATGGCTGAGAAAAAATATCCAGAAAGTAAATCTCCAATGACTCAAGTATATCAGGATTGTCTCTTTATTAAAGAAGTATTCTATGCTAAGAATATAGTATTTGATCAAAAGATCATATACTATCATTGGTTGAATTAGAAAAAAAGGTGCTTTGCCCTATAGATACTAAGCGCTGGATATTGTCTGATAGAGTTTCATCTCTGCCTTATGGTCATTAGTGCATCAGAGTATATAAGAATTTGGACAGAGATGGTGTTCTCCATGCGGAGGCCGAACAAAAAGCCATGAGGTACAGACTTCCAGAGAGATATCATACATAGTTATTATATTTTTATACAGAAAATATTTAATTAATAGTATGTAATCTTGAGGTCACAGTTTTATTATTCTTTTTTATAACTACTACACTTTAATAATATAGTGTCCTATCTTATTAACTTGGCTGCCAACCATATAATTACAATTAGTAGTAAAATAAGTATAGAATAGGTTGCTACTGCAATCGCTTTTATACTACTCTTTGACAAAATAAAGTTTTCAGGATATGATACTCCTCCTTCTTTTTCTTGAAGCTGGGCTTGCAACTTATCATTAAGATCATTAATTTTAGAGTTAAATTCGATAATGGATCTTAATTTTTTTTCAAGCTCTTGCTATATGCGCTACCGAGCTGATGCCCTTTTCATTAATATCTTTTAGTGTATGCACATTGGACATAATGAAATAATTATATTGCAAGAAAAAAAAATATGCAAATGTTTTCCATTATTCTATATCATTCTATATCATTCTATATTATTCTATATTATTCTATATTATTCTAAATCATTTTATATTATTTGATATCATTCTATAACATTCTATAACATTTTATATTATTTTTTATTATTAAAAATATTGCTAAAAATATAAGAGCAACAATGTCTACCCAATTTTTAAAAACCCATTATCAGCAAGGCGCCAGTGTTTTAACACCCGAGCAGATTGAAAAAATTAGATGCCTTAAAAATAAGGTTCCTATATATATGATAGTAAGAGACTACCATATTAATAAAAATCGTGTTTTAGATATATGGAACAATTGTGAACGCTTGCAACAAAGTAGAGAAAATATATTAGCAGATATGCCCCTAGCTTCTTAGGTAGTAAAGCGCTCTGAAGATACAAAGGTAAGTAACTCTAGTAAAACAGTTCACTTAAAGACTGGAGGGAGTGTCATGCCCCTAAAGGTAGACCTGATTCAATCAAACCAACATATTTAGAAGAACTTGGTATGCTTTATGAAAAGGCAGTTAAAAGAAGTGAAAAAAAATTGGCAAATAGTAGGTACTCTAAATAACTTGTCTATTCTCTAAATTCTCTTGTAGACTTTCGCAAAGTTTATTGATTTCCTCATTGAGCCTAAGAGTATTAAAAAGCTTTTTCATAAGCACTTCACAGCTCATGCATTTTTTTTTATTGGTATTGAGTAATCCCATCCACTATTATAAACAGAAAGCGGAATAATAATAGTTTTTCTATTAACTGATGCAGTAAACTCACCCTTTACTATAGGCTCCCAGCCTGCCTGATGCTGCCATCTAGTACCAAGAATAAATAATGATATATCCTTACCATTGCTATCTTTTTCTGTTGGTAAAACTGAAAACTCATCTGAAATTGTTAAAGTATTATTTCCAATATCTATAGTAATAGGTATATCAGAAAAGGTTCCAATGGATTGTTTTTCTTCTACAGCGCCTATTAGTCTATAAACCTTTTTCCTGTCTATTTTCAAACCAAAATATTTTATAAAATGGTTTGCGATATTTTCAGAAATATGTGACCCATCTGAACCTGTATCAAGTAAAGCATGGGGTATCTCTAAATCATGTACATGAAATAGTAGCGTAATTGTTGGGTTCTTTTATTTGTAAAAAGTTTATTTTTAATGGGTCAAGCCAATTTCGATAAAATTGCGCTTCTTGGTATTAGTTTATAGTGTAATTTAATGCAGAAGAGGGAGACCCCTCTACCTTCTCGAGCTCGTGAGAAGAACCAGAGCATGCTTAGAATAATGGTTCTAAAATAACTTGATATTTTTTTATTATATTTTCCCAGACCTTGTCTACTTCTTTTTTCATATAGATTTGTAAATGATATGAATAATATGAGTCTTTCATTTCGGGAAACAATTTACTAAGATCTGTATATATTTCTGTTAGAACTTCTTTAGGGCATTGGGGAATATATCTTGCTATTATATATTTAACCGATTCTAAAAATATCAGATTTTCATTAATGCTCTTCTTACTAGTTTTTGGCTTATTGGACTTCTTTTTTACAGACGATTTAAAAACCCCACTTTTTTTTTTAAATTAAAGCAATTGGTTTCTTGGCCGTGCCAGCTCTGCTGAGATTCAATCTCGCTATTTTTTTGGTCGCTTTCTGATTGGCTAATTTCTTCTTGATCATATTCATTTTCATCTTCTGACTGGCTTTGGCTAATATATTCGTATTAGGAAATATTATTGATTTTTTTAGCTTT